TCTCCCACCGCCCTCTCGCCCCCCCCTGCCCACCTACATTGTCAGATAGGTACGTCAAGTTTATCGAACCATTAAAAAACTTCCACGTAAAATTGGGTGGTGTGTGTGTGTATGCGTGCGTGCATGTAGAATTTCGAAAAATTCGTATAATCCCAATTGGATGACGACGTTACCACCGAGTCACCCGATCCGCCTATTATTTTTCTTCTGTTTTTTTTTTTTATTTTTTTTTGGTTGTATTAATGTTAGTACGAGAAACTCTCTTGCCATATAATTTTCTATGGTCTACTTTCTACCGTATAAATATTTCGTTTTTCGTAATGCTTCGTCGCGGTAGAAAAAAAAAAAAATAGAAATAAAAATAAAAAAGAAAAAAAAACATATACGGAGCATGCGTGTACTCGTTACAAAACCCCCCTGAACTTGTTCATTTTTTTTGTTTTCTCTCTCTCTTTCTCTCTCTCTTTATTTCTATACTAGCGCATTACACTATCTCTGTATATGTAAAGTTCGTTAAAAGCACCCGTGGGAATACGATACTAGCTGCACGAGGCAGACAGGTAGGTAGGTAGGCAGGCAGGGATGTTAAGATTTTCGTAAAAAGAAGCGACGCGGTCGGGCAGTTCCAATTAAGCTTACTGGACGGTCCCCGCCTTTAGACAAATATTGTACAGGTAGCGTGCGTCCCGATGAAGCTGCCCGGTACTACTACCGGTATGACGTGCTATATTAAATATTCGTCACACACCTAATACTAGGAATGTATACCTCGTTAACGAAACTGTACAGAGAATAACTTTGACTGGCATCACTCGTTTCAGTCGACATTGCTTACACTTCTTTTATTTTATGTATATATATATTTCATATTTTTTTAAACGATTTATTTTATTTTCTTCTTCTTTAGTTTTTTGTATTTGAAAGAGTTTTGAAACACGACTGAAATCAATGTCATAATTTGACAAAAGATAAGCCTGCATGAAATGATACATAAAGTGGCGTGGAAAGAATTTATGGGACAATCTAATATATGTGTCAGTGAGTAGTATATATATATATGTGTATAAGTATATAGACATTTTTGTCTTTTTTCATTAGTTGCGAAGTCCCATTTTCGTCGATATCCTCATTAAGCTTCGTCGTCGTGACGACCTTACGGTATCGACGTCATCGTGGAAAAGGCGAACGCTCCTTAATTATTTCTGTACTCAGCGAATTAGGGTGACTTGTTTTCGGATATTACTTTTCGCTTGGCAGGGCGCCGTGATAAATCGCCGATGAGCACGCGACCTTTCAAGATAAAGGTATAGTCCAGTAGGGTCGAGAAAACATAACGCAATTGTAACTGTTTATTATACACTTTTACCATTTTCCTAATAGACAAATTATTATTAGATAGAGAAATATTTCAAAACGTAAAGATCGGCTATGCCATATTGCAATTATAAATTGTTATAGAAAAAAAAAACCCAAATTATAACTAAGTAACAAAAATATATATTTCACATTAATAAAAGTTTATGATCTCTCTCGAAATAAAGATTAGAATAATTGAATATTAAAATTGAATTCATTTGGAAATACGGGAATATCTTAAATCGAACGATTTATCGTATAATCCAATTTAGCATAGATTCACATCCGATTATTATAATAATATCCCGTTAAGATTAAAAACTTGGTTTAATGATTAAAGTCAAATAGCCGACGCGTGCACGAGTAAACCCTATCTCTGTAACTAAATTCTCTCAAAGTCAGGATAAATCTAAGAGGAGGGATGGGTAAGGTTGGTAGTACTCGATGGTGGAGGGGAGTAAATATTGTTGGACGTTAATCACGAATTATGTCTCCTAGGTATCGGCTCATTGACATTGTTATACTAGGTTGTCATGGTTGAACATTCCGTGGCGAGAGTATATAGGAAGCTTTCGAAGCTTGTATCGCGGTTGTCTAAGCTTGCATTAATTATGAAAGATTCTCGATATCCATCGGGGCCTCGGGGAAGGGTCACCCTTCTCTCTATAACGACGTAATACACCAGATAGCTCGTAGGACGGGCGTCCATTAACTAACATAAGCTCCTAATCCCTACAGTTGAGTTAGCACATGGTGCTACTGTCTGCCCACGAGTGGGGTCCACCGTTTACAACCACATTGACGATTGTCCAACCTCTCTTGTCTATCTTAACCTTATCTTTGGAAGGAGTGAACACTAACTGAGATTTTGACCAATAGATTTGCATTCTCATTCTGAATAATGGAAGAACGTGTTGTTTCGTACGTTGAGTAATTAACGATAACAGATTATTGGTTTTCCAAACAAGTATCCTATTCTATTTCCAATACTAAAATATTATTATCTTTAATTATTATATTAAATTCAATATTTGAAGATATATATATTATTATCTATAATTAATAAATTACCACTATATTATCTGTGCCAATTTGTGTGTTATACTTATATATAATTTCATGAACATTTCGCGTGGGATAATAATGTTATATAGTTGAGTTATACAACAACAAAAAAAAGATAAAAGAGAGAGAGAAAAAAAGTAGAAAGATAAACTAGGTAGAATATAACATCGTAATTCTATCGGAATCCAGTGGCATTAGAAAGAGCGTTAGACCGGATGGTACTCCATCGGTTGGTTTCTTCTTAAATCTTCGTTTCTATAAATCCGTTTTCTCGTTCCACGTTTTGAACACAATACTGGAATTGACCGAGAGATGGGTGGAGATTCGTATTAATGATCAACCCGACTCTCCGCATAGTGCGGTTTTCACTCGTGATGTTTCTACGTGTATATGTGTATAACGGACGTCTACGTGTATCCTATAACAGTAGGTATATGTATAGGTATAGATCCCCAAAGAACGAGAGAAATGATACTTCCAAAAGTTTTATCGAGCCATTGAATACACCAGGGTATCCCCAGCTCTCAGTTTTCACAAATTCATCGATCTGTCGTTGAAGAAGAATAGACTGGAAAAGAGTCAAACTAAAGAGAGATCTTTCAACAAAAATCAAACAAACAAACAAACAGACGAAGTGAAATGTTTAAACTTAACAATTACTTTACTTGTACGTGTTCTGAAAAATGAACGTTATGATATAAATAATAATAGCCAACTGAATTGAAATGAATTTCAATCGACAATCAAAGAAAAAAAAGGAAAGAAACACGAAGGATTCGTTCATGAACCTATTATACAAGTAAATTATGGCATATTTTATTTGATAACGAAAACGATCATTCAGAGTGGATACTCGAAAGCGATCGTACAGAGTGGATACTTGAAACGTTAGTCTCATTCGAGACTGGCAGATTTTCCGAGAGTTATATTCGTACGATTTTACGAAACGTGTGCTTTTTCTTTTATATTTTTTTTTTTTTGCTCTTCTTCTTCTTCTTCTTCTTCTTTTCAGATATTGAAGTTAAGAGTAGTAGTAGCTCGAAACTCTGGTAGAACGTGTCTTTTGTATTCGTCTTTCTACGAATATCTGCGATTTT